ATAGATAGATAGATAGATAGATAGATAGATAGATAGATAGATAGATAGATAGACAGATAGATGTGGGTTTGAAATTATTTATTAGAAATATAAATATGTGTATTGATAGCTTAGGTCTTCCCAATTCAGTGAAAATTGAGCCCAAGACCCACTAAAAGCAATGGAAGTACTTATATTGCACTTATTTCCTTGGGAATAAGAGGAAGTGTTTTACCAGATTGTCTTCCTGGATGCCTCTCATCCATTTAAGAAGCATGTGGAAGTGGAGGTATAGATGCACAGGTAAACTTTTAGTGGCCTTATTGGAACTCACCCTAATCGAGTGCATTGCTGGAATACATAAAATGGGTTGCTTTGAACATGAAACATGACGTCCTTTTGACCTCTAGAGTGACTATTGATCTTGGGTTCAGTTCCATCAATAATCAGCTCTCACATCAGCAGTTTCCATCTGTTAACCCATTCTGAAGGCAGTAGTTTCTGTATGAGAAAACCTTGAGCCTGTAAGCTGAATGCTGAGTTCCCTGTAAAACTGCTAAGTAAAAAACAATTTCTGTGGAATCTCTGAGTGACACAAGGTTGCTCACAGCTCTGTAGTCAGTACGAAAAGATAACATTTTCTGCCTACACAGCTAAGAATCTTACTGGTATGAAACACTGCATTACTACAATTGTAGAATCTGACTGTAGGAGGCCAGCTAAAAGCCAAGCCTGCAGCTTTCCCTCTATTTCAGTTCTCTTCAATACTGCATAGTTATAGAAAATATATCCAGATATTTAAGTGTTGCAAGGCCTCAGTTAACTACATTGTTCTTTAAAAAGATGCAACATTACTTAATAAAACAAGTGTTTGCTGCAAATAATTTTTACATGGTTTAGCCATTTTTCCAGATTATTCGCACTTTGTTTGCATTACTTGTGATAAGATCTGTGATGTGTAATTATGTCTGTTAATTATGCCCAGATCATCAGATAAGGAATTCTTATTTTCTCCCAAACTAATTACTGTGCTGAATGGTATACTTTAAAAAAAGGTTTCTGAACAATGACAAAAAGTGTATTGTATTGTACTAGTGTATATTTCAGTATCCAGAAATGCAATAGTAATAGATAGATAGATAAAACTTTATTACAGTCAAAAGACTAGCCACAAATAAAACACCAATATATATATAAATACACAGAAGTTTACAAAAATATTGGGATCGAATGCAAAGCAATAATCGGTTCTGAGGTGAACAACCACAACATCAAGACATCTTCCTTAAAGCAATTCCAAAATGTCTAGCAAACCATGCTCTAACTACAGAGGCTCATCCTCTTTTAGGGTCCTTTTTCTAATGCCCATTGCAGCTGTAAGAAATTTGGCAACACTATGTGTAAGCATGGGATTGGAGTCAGAAAATAGTGAAAAATGTCAGTTCTCTATACCAGTGGTCCCCAACCTTGGGCCTCCAGATGTTCTTGGACTTCAGCCCCCAGAAATCCTGGCCAGCAGAGGTGGTGGTGAAGACTTCTGGGAGTTGTAGTCTAAGACCATCTGGGGGCCCAAGGTTGGGGACCACTGCTCTATAAATTTAAGAAATACACAGATTTGGGTGCACCCACCCAACACGTGACACCCTATTGACCCCTGAGGGGGTTAGGTTTGAGTGAATGTTTAGAATTGGACTGTAAGTGTTCCCTGAATTAGAGAAGAATAGGAGTACTGACTTGGGAATCAGTCCCTATATCCGAAAGATACTGTCTTAAACAAAACAGCAGCATACCACAAAAGAGGAAGACTCCCTTCCAAAAGAAAAACTCACTTCAGATTAAAAAAGATATAAAAGCATGGAAAATTAGAAATACATGAATTTTTGTTTGGTCTATAATTGCCAGCCAGCATCGGTCATGGGCAATGTTCCCTCTAAGCTGCACAGCTGCACCATGCTGTATTAGTGCTGTGCACCCACAGTTAGTGTTGCTGCCCATTTGGTTCCAGTCATGGCTGAAATTTTGCATGCACAAGGTGTGATTTCTGGTCAGTGGTGGAAAAATAGAGAGGCTGAAACTTTGCATGCACAAGGCGTGATTTCTGGTCAGTGGTGGAAAAATAGAACATTAGCCATGGCGCTTGGCGGATCCAGGGAATTAAACTCCAAAAGTTGATTCCCCAACCCTCACCCCTATTCTGTCACCAATTATATCAAAACAGGCAGTAGCCAAGCTTTCTACTGCAGGGCATTTAACACATGGGATGCAATGAGCACTGCCTGATGAATTCATGGCAGAACTCTTGGGGATTGCAGTCCAAAAAGATACCTCTTTTTTGCACACCTCAAATGCTAGCCTGAGTATTCTAAATAGTTTGTTTTATACTTTTTATCTGATGTTTCTGTGTTCTGCACTCTTCCAGATTATTTTTCTTTTGCTTTAGATAATATCTTTCTTTTCAATATGTTACTTTGTTTAATGGTGCAGTGTTGAAAAAATTAATGGATAGAAAAATGTCAGTGGATCTGTTTGTTTATATTTTAGGACTCCAAAGACATCTTGAAGAACAAATGGGCAAGAAATCACCAGCTGTAGTTATGGTACCTGTGACGGATTTACCTGGCATGAAAATTATTCATATAGCATGCTGGCTCAGCCCATAGTTCAGCAGCATCTGTAACTAGGATGTACATCCTACTAAGAGGAAGAAGACACTGCGTGGTTTTTTTTAAAAAGGCATACAAATGTGTGATATTAACAAGCAAAACCATACATGGAAAACTGTGGGGGGGGGGCGTATTATTTTCTCATTTTTTTTTCTATGGAAATTTTGAAAGTCATCACCAGCATTGAACATGGAGTTAGGAGATGACATCAGTAACTCCAAAATCTCTCTGGCCCATTAATTTTTGTACCAGATAACAGTAGATCGAATAAAGATCTTGTTCCAAGGTGATGAGTCACCAGCCATTTATACCAATACATTAAGCTTAATGTACTTTCACATCCTAAATAGAGCAAATGGTCTTATATTGCCCAGGATCCAAAATGTTGCAACATATGAAGTGCCATCAGCAGCTACATAAGGGGAAGAATGGCAAAAACTCAAGGGACTCATTCACATCTCATAATTGACAGCAGGAAAACATAATTGAGTACTTAGATTGGATTGGATCTTCTTAAAACCTAGCATTCCAGAAAGTGCCTGCTGGCATGCATATCTCACAAAATCAACTCCCATTACAATTGAACTACAGATAAGCTTTTACCCATTGAGCACACAGAGAGCTTTTTCTTCTGGGACTAAACAAGACATGTGGGGCATAAGATAGGCTTACTCTACAGAGGTCCTCTCCCACATGGCAGAAGATACAGATGGACATCATTTGGCAGCAGTCATGCACAGTCTCCTAGCATTCTAATAGTTCTCTGAATTAGGATTCTTTCCTCTTCTGTAACTTGTCCATATGTAGAGTTTGTAAGAACAAAAAGTCCCATGGCACCTTAAATGTCTCTGCTGGGGCTACACTCCGTGCATTTAAAGATGTGAATTACAGCATGTATAAAATTATACCAGATAAATTATATTTATGTTTAGGGTTCCACAAGACCTTTTGTTGTGTCTTCTGCAATACACTAACACAGTGGAAAATTTAAAATATGAAATAATTTCTCTAAAGCCATTTGAATAATTTTGACCAAAGTTCATAGATATGGATGGATGCCATCTACTTCTAAAATATTGGGTACAGGTATAGTAATAATGACTGCTAATTAATGGATATTCAATAATTTCACAGATTGCATGCAGAGTATGCTGCTAAACTGCCCTCCATATTTTACTCCCAGTATTTTAAATATGTTCTGACATAATGGTTTATGGCTCAAGCTTTCATTTTTTACTGCACATATGGTGAATTGTACCAATTGTCATTCAGTGTATTATTGGCCAAAATCTACTTGCTTGATGTAGCTTAAAAATAGTGTAACTTCTAGAAGTGAATTTGCTCCAGTCATTTTTTGTGAGTTGTGTGTTCCTGATTCAACATATTGTATAATGTCTGCTGTGATTTTTTTTTTTAACCTGAAGCAGTTTCCCTCCAAAACTGGCATAACTACACAGGAGGATTTGGGTCTTTCTATTTTTGTATGACTGACAGAAGTATATTTATACATGACTTCCATGGTTGAACCTTTAGGGCCTCTGGCAACACACTATGGAGACATTCAAGGGAAAATTAGACAATGATCTGCCAGATGAAGTTTGATTTGGATTCCTACATTGAATAGGAGGTTGGACTTGAGGCCTTATAGGGCTCTTCAAATTCCATTATTCTATGATTGTAGGAGTCCTACAAAGCTAATAAATGCCATTCCTCACCACTAGCACCACCAGCCTAACTATTGATAGTCCTCTCGTTTACCCATTTATCTTCCCATAGCATTGTTATGTTTTCTAGATTAAGCCTTAGTTTGTTGATCCATTTATAGCCCTCTGTTCAAGACCTAAGCAGTTGCCTTTGAATTTGTAGATTGAAATGTGATGTAAGGTGATGTGTTACTGGTGTAGTGATAACATATTTGCACAAGATTAAGATGACTTTCCCAGGTGGCTGTTAAAGCATAGGAATCCTGAAGCACAAAGACCATGGGTGGAACACATGTTAACCAATACAAACCTGTGCAGTCACTCCTTTAGAGGGGTCTGAAGTTATCATAATTCTGTGCCTTCCAGTCTCAACCCAGCTAGGTAACTGTGAACAAGATGGTATGATCTTTCATTATCAGAGACCACTCAGATGTCCAGGATAGCTAACAAAGCAGCACTCCCAGGTTTTCTTCTCCAATGTAAATTATCCACTAAGGCAACCAAGCCTGTCAGAATCTGAAAACCAAGAGAACCGCCACCTTCTCCAGTCTCGTATTCAAGAATGGCACATATGATATCGAACAAATGTTATCCAATTCAGAGAATCCAAATTTTACTTTTTAAATTGAAGTCTGACTTCTGACATTTTAAAAGCAATAGGTCCTGTACCCTTCCTCATTAGCAACTTTCAAGGTCCAGGTGTTAGACCCTAATCTCAGATGAAAGTAGCCAGGAAGAAATGAATTCAAAGGGTAGGCAATGGGTCTTACTTTGCGAAAAAACTAGTGCAAATCTATCACAGTAGCTACAGAAAAATGTCAGCCTACAGTTTTAGCCATACAATTGTGTTAAGTCCATGGATGATGCAAATATGTCAGACAGAACAATAGTTTGCTGGGTTTGGAGAACTAAATGCTGTACCCACCATTTGAATTTGAACCTTCTTCCATCAATTTGTTATTGTTTTCTTCGGAGTTTAAAAAAATCGATAGCCAGCACAGTAACCAAATAAAAGTGCACACAAATAACTATTTTCGTTTTGAAATTCACTTCTATATGCTTTAAAAAAAGGAAATTTATAAACAGTTTCCTTTACAGAATGCCTTTTGATAATACTGACTTTTTTTCTTTGAAAAAAAAATCCGACATGTTCCCAGTAGTATATCAGCTAGGTCTGCTGAATTTTTAAATAGGAACAAGGCAATTTGTACAATATTGATATGCAAGTTAGATGCTGCTTCACGTTGCGACCCAAGACTTATATAACAGAGGGAAATGTCTTATCACCTTTTTATCTTTTCCACACTGCAGTACTTTCATCATAACTACCTAGGCCTGCTGCATAAGTTTCACACAGTCCTTTTTTCAAGCTCTTTGTAACCAATATGTGTGTCTTCTGACATGGGAGAAAAATGAAGTAGAGAGGTTTAATATTTGAAATTTATAAACACCAAAAAACAAAAGAGCTACGACGATTGACAGTGCAATAGATTTTGCCTAGACAGGTTTTGATCTCAGGAGTGTAAATACATATGCCACAGTAAGACATTAGTTTTGAGGGCTTTTTTTAAAATAGATATGCAAACAAAGAAAAAAATTGGTTTCTTTGATTTTTATTAAACCCTCTGGAAAATTTACAATTTATTCATGTTATGACACTCAAGCTATGTTGGCAAAGATACCAGTGCTGCAAATGTAAGCATGAGGAAGGAAGAACTTAAATCCAGATGGGAAACTTCGTTAATATATAACTTAGAAACCAATGCCTGCCTTCCTTCCTTTCTGAGAGTATGAAGAGATGGAAGATATACCCAGAAAATTAGGCTAGAGATGAGATCAATTTGCATAATAAGCAACATTCATAAATAAACTTTCTAAATCTTTGAAGTACCTTCTGTCTGACTAACGGTATGATCCTGTATCCACTTGCCTGTGAGTAAATCCCATTGAGCCCAGTGAGAAGGACTTCTGAGTAGGCATGCATAAGATTGTGCTATAAAGCTTGAATTGCAGAGATGGCGGACTTAGATGGAATGGTGAAACAAAACTGCAGGAGGAAAACTAATAGGCTATAACTTTCTGTTTCATTCTTGCTCAAAGCTGTCGAGATGATAGCTGAGAACCTAGCGGGGCTTTGCAGTACACATGGCTGAGCTGCCATAAAGGCATCAGAGCTAATCTTCCTAGATAGGTTAAAAGATGGCATATGGTATTTTAAGCACAGATTATTTGGAGGGGGGAAATCCTCAAATTTTATAGTGAGGTGAATCAAAGTCTGATTTGTTAAACCAGGTATCACTGGTGTATCTGTCTTCCCAAGCTCTGGATCTCTTGTGGGTACTCAAAGCCAAATGTCTCCTGTGTATGAGAGAGGTGATCTGAAGCCAGCTATTCTCCTTCAAGGATGTTCTGTTCAATCTATTATCTCTCATAGGCGTGCTAGTCTACTCTATCAAAATACAGTGATTGAATAAAACATTTTATCTCAAATAAATGAATGCACTGATTTAATAAAGGTTTCTAGTGTGTGGTATTATAGTTCCCTAGATGAACACTGAAATTTCAAAATGTGAATGCTTTTCAAGGGTCCAAGTTAAATCATGACCAGCTCTTTCAAACTGTGATTGTATCTAGAAACCCACTTAAAATGAAATTGTTCTGTGTTTTTTGATCATCTCTAGTCCTTATTTTTAGGTAGCCTGTTTTTACTATTATAACAGTGTCTGACACTGGGGATTCATTTTAAGAAGAGATGACAATTTACTAATTTATGATGTCTCTTCTTGTATTTTAATGTTTTTGGCAGGCTAGCCAGTGTTGATGTATTAGCAAAGCATCCCAACTGCAGACTGAGATTTTGAAAGTCTTACAAAAATCTTGCTTTCATCTGATGAAGACTGAATATTTTTGACATATTTTAAAATTTAATTTATAAAAACAGACCAGATACCTGAGAAGGAAACTATTCTGTCACATGTAAATGCCTCTTTTAATTATAATTCATTTATTTGAATGTTTGCCCCATTTTGCTGATTTCTGATATTTTTTTTAAAATTCAATTTTCATACTCATGTCTAAATATCTACAGGCGATGCCCACTTACACAGATCATGTAACCTGTTCAGCTATACCCTTATTACTTTCAAGAGCCTCTAAACTAGAATCTGTTGTTCTATTCAAGAACATTTCTTCATTTTGAGCTCCTGTTCAATGATGTCATGCCATTGCTAATTTGACTTTGGATGTGGCATCTCTAAAGAAATACATGTTGTGTCCAAACAGGGGTCCCCCCCCCAATCCAACAGAGTCTTCTCTTTCCTGCATTTCCTTCTTCATTTATTTTACCTGGAAGAACACTGGATGCTGGTTCTCCCCACCCCCATCACTTTCTTAGTGCTATTTTTCCTTTGTGTACATTCATGCTCACTTGCTCTGTTGTTAATTCCACTGTGTAATGCAGATTTCATGAGTTTTAGAGATAGTTCTGTCCTTAAAAAATAATGACATCAGTATCCTATTGCCTAGTTACGTTCAAGAAGGGCAATCATGTAAGTGTTTTCCAGCACTCCCCATCACATGAGCAGTTGTGCAACGAGGCTTAAACCCAGTTCAAGAAGGGGTTCATTATAGGGAGGTTGATGCAGCTGCGGAAATATTCACACAATTGCTTCTCTCCTCTTGCACAGATACATTTCTTATTCAGACAATAGGATGCTGGCCTGTAAGCCATTCGTTCTTAATATTTTAAATATAGTACAAGAAGACTGTGAAAAAGGAACAATCATTTATGCTAGAAGTTGCAGCTTATTTGTAGGACACTTCCTCTTTAACTACATTTTCACCCATGCTAGTTCCTCAATTTCCTGAGAAACTGAGCTTCATCGAACTCATCCATCTAAATTGGGCCCTTCAGGTAAATGGCTGTTCCAAGAATGAAATCAAAAGAGCCATTAAACCAAGAAAGCAACACCAAACTGAAGAAGAAAAACAGCCACCCACAAATAAAGTATTTCTGCCACACATCAAAGGAGTCACTGACTGCGTGGGGAAGCATTTTGAAAAAACACAACCTACGAACAGTATTCAGGCCCACCACAAAAATACAACAAATGTTACAGTCAACAAAGGACAAAAGGGACCCCCTCACCATTGCAGTAGTATACCTATACCTTACGGTTGTGGACAGGTATATATTGGAACCACAAAACGCAGCATCCACACCAGAATCAAAGAACATGAGCGACACTGCAGACTAAAACAACTGAAAAAATGGCAGCAGTTGAACATGCCCTAAAACAAGCTGGACATGAAATTCTCTTTCAAAATACTGTAGTACTGGACAACACCAGCAATCATTATGTTACACTGCACATGAAAGCCATTAAAATCCACAAACACCAGCAGAGCTTCAACAAAAAACTAGAAAGTTTAAAACTCAACAAAACCAGGCTCCCAGCACTGAAAAATACATCCTACGAAAAGTCAACGCATTCTACCCAGCCACAAGGACCAGTGATCTCTGCACACAAAAGACAAGCTAACAACACCCATCAATCACAGTGAGAGACCATCTCCCCCCCTTATCACAACAATACACCATTTAGTACTGTTTTTGTTCTTGTTTTGTTTTGTTTTAGCATACAAAATACTGTAATACTACTAAATACTGTTAGTAAGATTTAAATTACATGGTCACCTTCCCTTTTTTCTTGGAGTCCCTTTCTCTTAATCACTTCAGCAATAAAGGAACAGGCATCTCAGATCTTCTGACTGAATAAAGCTGATCTTGAGTGACGTCCAGGTAACTGGTTTCAATTCATTTCATTCAACATGTTCACAAGGAATATGTGGGAATGTTTATCTTCCAGCCAAATTTACTGGTCATAACAAAACGAATTAATCATGAACAATAATATCCCTGCATTTGTGAAACCACTTTATCAATGTTGATTATCCTACAAGGTAAAAAAAAACATGGTAAACATTAGATCTGTGACAGTAGTCTCTACAAGATGGTCCATGACAGCATCTCTACCTTTTGATGGAGAAGGAAAAGATAGTGATATTTAGAGCCAAGCTTTGGGCTCTAGCCTGTGCTGTCTTTGCATGTATAGACATTTTAGTAGTTATACTGCCTCCCTGCCCCCACTGGTGTTTGGTTTCAGCAGTGCAAGATGTGACTGCCTTGCTAGCACAATCCCTGGTGCAGACAAACAGCTTTCCTGGGGTTGAGATCCTGCCACTCACATAATTATTTTGAGACAGACAGCTCCATTACTTCAGCGCCTCTACTTCAGAAGAGGAATGGAAACATTAGGAAAAGTTTTTTTCCCTTTGATGTAGAATATGCTGCCACTTTTTGTTATTAAAATAGGAACTAATGTTAAATAAATAAAATTTTGCCTGGAGGCTTCTGAAAACTAACGTTGTGTTTTGACAGTGTCACTCTTTTTTCCTCTGTTCCTGAAAGCATTGTGTGAGCTAAGTTAGGACTTCATGATTTTTGCTCTGTGCTACATACATTAAACTCTTTCTTCTTTTTAACTTTAGTTGCTTCTGCTCACAGGGCCATGAACAAATTCTCAGAGCTCTTATCAGTTGTTGTTAAACTGTTCTTTCCCAGCCACAAGCCTGTGCGCACACCTTTCCTCTAACCAGGAGCAGATACACCAGCAGGAGAAGACTGAAGGAAGAGACTTGCTACTGTTCTTTCCTTACGTGAAGCAGAGAATAGGTTCTTGGAAGGATCATACAAAGGAAATTAACAGTGCAATTCTAGATGGGTATCCTCAGGAACAGGCCCCCTAGAATGAGTCTAGCATTGTGTTAATGGATGGTTCTGCCCCTCCCTCCCCCCCCAAAAAAACCTTTTTTTGGAGCAGACAAGAATGCAGTAGGGAGGGCAGAACTTAATTAGACACCATTCTGCAAGATCAGCAGAAAGTAGGTCTTGTGAAACTGCAATCTTGTGCCCAGTTATCGTATTTTTCCATTTACAAGACACTACTTTTCCTAAAATCATTACACTAAAAATTGAGGGACTTCGTTTACACAGAAGTAAGCTGAGATAGCTGAGGAGAGAACAAAAAAACACATATCTTGCATCTGTAAACAGGCTTCCTTCAGTCACAAGGCTTAGCTTCCTATAGTCAGGAGACTTAGCTTCCTCCAGTCACGAGCCTTATGGAACTGATGTTAGCTGATCATATACAAACCAACTGGAACACACCTCCTTGGAGGTAGAGCCTGTAGGCTCAGATTCAGCAGGGACTCCTAATGTCTGAGTGTTCTGAGACCAGAGGTTGAATACTCAAAGCTAAGTTTTCTTAATTTCTTAAAAACAAGAAACACTAACAAAAGATTTCATGGTATATATAATGCAACAATTGCACTTTATGGGCTTGATTTGTTTATTACATTTGTATCCTTTCTCTCCCCCCCCCTTGGAGCTCACTGTAGGGTGAATTGGTTTTCTACCCAGGTATCAATGAGGCCCAATGTCACTTTAACTTTAGCCAAGTTGCTGTGTTAAGAGCCAAACGGGAATACCCTGAAGAGCTAATGTTCATAACAGTCTATTAAAAAGAGATTATAAAGTACTGTGCAAAAAAATAGCCAATATTGGTTTAATGGTCACTTCCAGACTACATTCTTTGTTGCCAATTTGGAAGGTGTGATTTCCTTCACAGAACATAACCTTACCATGAATCTTGAACATTCTCTTACATCTGTAATGAGCAACTCAGGGTTGTCAAAGCTTAAGCCTACGACTCCTCTCAGCCCTAGCCTGCATAGGCAGGGGTGAGAGATTGCAGGAACTGTGGGCCAAAATCATCTGGAGTGTCACAGGTACTCACTCCTGTTGTAGGTGCATTCTTCAACCTGCTGACTGGGTCAGGAGGTCAAAGAATTTGCTAAGACGCACTTCCCTCAGCAAAGGATAACATCTGTATACAGCTTGGGAGGTAAATTTACCTCAGCAAAAACTAATAATAATGAGAGGAGGGAGTCCAGCCCATTACCCAACAGATCAGTTGACTATCTGGATATGTCTGATGGAGAAAGCTGAAATGAACAAAAGTGCCACTTAAAACATCTGTAGAATAAACAACCTGTTGACAAGTGAATAATACTCAAATTAGACCTATCTCAGGAAAGAACTGATGTTTTTCCTCTTTGTTTAGGACAGAGATGTAGGCAAAACCTTCTAGATCTTGTAAAGCTGTGTGTGTGGTTAGTTATTTTAACTTTTTATAATTTACTTGTTTTAAATTAGAAGTTTTACTAGTTCGAAAAAGCAAATACATTAAGCATTTAATTAACCAGCACTGCCTTAAGCATACATTTCAAACATCACTATCACCACTTTCCAATTATATACTCTCTTCTCAAGTCACCAGATGCCACATTGCTTGAAATGGGCTGAAATCCTGTTGCAGAGCTCTGCATGTGGAGTGGCAATGATGTCATCAGTTAAAATTAAAGGCTTATTAAAATGCTTTCTTTGGGAATTTCATCATAATTTTTACTAGTCATATTCACACTGAAATTATTTTAATCAGTAGTGATTTGCCTTTAATCATCAGCAATTTATCACTAATTATGATCTCATCTGTTGCACAAATGAAACTGCACAATAGGACTTCAGCTAATGTGTTTTAAAAGCACATATATAGATGATTACCATTAAACAAGCTTGTTAAAGTTGTGCTTGCAAAACCCAGGTGGGTGCTCCAGGTGAGTGTATGATGCTTAGCCATGATAGAGCAGAAGCCAGCAGGCATCAAAACACCAACTTTCTATTTCATTCCACAGGCTCAGACATATTAAGATAAAATAGCAATGAACAGAGAGCCCCAAGCAAATGATAAGCTATCATCTGTCACCTCCCACTTGTTAACTTACATCTAAGAAAAAGCAAAGATATTGTCAGCTTTTGCTGTCACATGACCAGTATTTCCCAGTGAAATTGCTTTTCAGCTTGACTTAAAGAAAGAAGCTACAGAAGTCAGTGGGCTTTTTCTCTGGATATGTGGATTCGCCATCTTTTTCAGGATATAAGGATTCCCCAGCTAATGATCCATCTTTTTACATCTCAAGAAGTGGCTAAGACAGCTTACACAGGGGAAGAATAAGTGGTTCGACCATTATGGAAAGCAAAGCAGCTGCCTTTGGTTAGCAGATATTGAGAAGGAGCAGCGGGTAGCCATGAAGTGTTCAAGGTGTGCCACATGGCCTGGCCTGCACCCCCTAAATTAGCCTTATCTCTTCAACATCCTACAAGATACTGTTTTGCCCACATTGTCAAACTAAGATTCTAATGCCATTACAGTTAACTTCTGTATGTGCAACGTGGGCGTGGAGACTATTGTGTTCTTTGCCTTAGGTGACAAAATACCTTGCCCAGAGGGAATTTGTTTCAAAAGGGTCAAACAGTTAAAACAATTTAAATGAGGCTTGGTAGCTTAAGAAAAACCTACATCAATCCAGCTCAGATAATAAAAACCATCACTTGATGTGCTGAATACCTGTTAAAATAAAATAAAAATGAGATAGTGAATCAACAGCAAAGCAGGGGCAAAAAAACACCTCCCCGGACAATGACCTTTTTGGACAATTAATTGTTGGGCTACCCCCTTACTATTGTGTCTGTTGCCTCTTCTCCAATTCGGTTGCATTTATGCCTCCAATAGCATCTTATGGTCTCTCCATCCAGCTTGCGCAAAACACTGAATAGAAGGAATATTCAGTTTGTTCAAATACTTCAACAGAAGAGATAATGTTCAACACACATGTAGCTGAAACACACATAAGGAAAGGAGAATAATGTATGGAACAGCTAAATCAATTGCTCAAGGTCAGCTTCAAGATGGCACAAATAAATCAAACCCGATGTTGTATCAGTTAGACAAGTGACCCTGAAGGAGCAGCAAAATCTGTTGAGAGTATTATTGCTATGTCAGAGTTTTAGACGTTTGCTTAAATTAACAAGAAATATGTAAATCTGTAAAGTAGAAGAAAAGACCTCTATACCATTGCTACTGGAAATCCAAACAAGCAACATCTACCACTACAATTTAATGTCATCGTACATTGTCAAGAGCATAGGAAGTTTATTGAGGAAATGTAAAGACTATTCAACTTGGATATTCCTATCTCTTTGTGGCCTGTAAGGCTTAACAAAACCAGAACATTTTCCCTATAGCCAATGGGCATTGGTCTCAACTGGGCTCCATGGAAGTGCCACAACTAATCTTCAGAATACAGACCGTTACCATTTTCTAAGGTATGTTAAAGATTTAGCAATTGTACATAAGTGTCTAGCTGTGGTGTTGACACTTGTGAATTTTGGTTTACCATGGACAGTTCATGATCAGGATGGGGGACCCCCGAAAGCCAAACATTTTGAGATGGCAGGTTCCTCCCATCCTGTTCCACAAGCAACCCAACCTTTTATAGTGTTACATATTCCTGAAATCTGCTCTGCAGTTTTCCAGTTCAAGCGATAAAAGGCGAAATCCAGTTTTAATTCCAGCTAGAGTAGATCCATTGAAATGAATGAGGCTAATCCATCAGCATTAACATAAGTCCCATTCATTTTAGTTGTCTACTCTAGTTGAGGCTAATACTGAATCTACCTATGATAGCAGTAAAAATTATGTGGAACGTTCTTATTCCTGCTGTTAGAGGTGTAGCAAGTATTGCTATTTTTAGGTGAATGTAGGAAATGCAATTTTTTATGTAAGCCTTTTCACCATAGTCTACTGTAGTTTTTATTCTTACAAAGGTATTGATTTTATGTATTGTTTTATATGATTGGTGATGCAAGTGGTTTATAAATACTCATAAATAAAAGAAATAAGTTATGGGAAATAATATTCATTATTTGGGCTTTTCATAAATATAGTTCATGCGTTTCCATAGGTTTGTACATTTCATGATCTGGCAGGTCTCACAGACCTAGCTTTAACCAAGAATTTTTACTGTAGACTTTTCCCGAAGCATTCACTGGGCAATGGCGCCTCCCAGTGTTCACAGTGAAGAAGGCCAGATTTAACTAATGCTTCTTTAAAAATGGCCACATTTCTTCTGGATGTTAACCTTTCAAAATGATAAAGATTATTCTTTCTGAGATTCTCATTGTGTTTAAAAGTTCTTGAATGTTGTACTTGTAACACTTCACACACACAAACTGAACTGAACGTATTATGACAATACTGTATTTTGTGAGGTGGTAACATAATTGACATTCCACTATCAAATAAAAATATTAACAATGAATATGTTAGGTCTTATATGCACCATATATATTCTGTGTAGACCTTGCCTAGAACTATTTTTAAATGGATTGTTGTGCTCTTCTGCTTTAGTATTGATTTTATTTACTGTTTTTAATATAATACTTGTTCAATTCTTTTAAAATATTTGTATACTTACCATTTTAGCTTTTAAATATTGTCTTTTTAATGATGTCGTCCACCTTGGGGAGGTTAAGGGGAAAGCAAGGTAAAAATATTTTAAATAAATAAAAATAACTGTTGCATTAATTTATATACATTCTAGAAAAGCTCAAATTAAATATAAAATTCAGTATTACCTTAAAGGCTCCATTGGCCCAAGTACAAAACAGTGAGGAAAGCACTACAACCTACTTATCTGATAACAATTCCTTTCATTTTATGTAGTTATTTTTGAATAATTGCATTATAGACTGGAGTTGCAGGGGAGTCATATTATTTTCTCATACCTTTTTGTTCCTTTTTACCCATGCTACATATATTTCCCCCTTAGTGTTTACCAGGTTTTCTAATTGGACATCAAATTGTTAACCAACCCTACATGCTAAACTTATCATTGACAAGCCTGTCATTTGGAGAAGGGACAATTCGCTATGTAAATCACCTCAGCCTAGGGTGCAAAAGTGTCATACATTCTATGTTTTTTTTAAAAAAAAAAATCCATGCTATTTCTCACATTAAACTTGATGTTTTTCACTCTTTCTCCCAAACAAGGAGGGAAGCCCTAAAGTTGAAATGGCCCAGGCTTCATCAGTGTTCTCAGAGAGCTGCTCATCTTTGCCATATCTTATCTGTTCCATAACTTTGTATCCTATTTTAACATCAGGTGGAACACTGTGATTCAGAGATCTCCAGAATGGAAGGCCGTGTAATGGCAATGCCATTGAATGCCCTTTATATGGGTGGTGCACCAGCTATTGGACAGTATAATCCATGCCCTGCTGTAGACTACGGCAATATGCTGTATGTGAGGCTGCCCTTGAAGGCAAAATGGATGTTACAACTTGATAAATAAACCCTAAACAGCCAAGTACAGGCTACTTAAATGAGTACTTCTCCTTGTATCATACCAGTACTAACAAATTGGAACAAGTTTAGAGGAGGGTGACAAGGATGATCAGGGGTCTGGAAAACAAGCCCTATGAGGAAAGGCTGAAAGAATTGGGCATGTTTAGCCTTGAGAAAAGAAGACTGGGGGGTGATATGATAGCACTTTTCAAATCTTTGAAAGGCTGTCATACAGAGGAGGGGCAAGATCTGCTCTCAATCTTCTCAGAGTGCAGGACATGCAACAATGGTCTCAAGTTAAAGGAAGCCAGATTTCTGTTGATTATCAGGAAAAACTTCCTAACTGTTAGAGCAGTACAACAGTGGAACCAGTTACCTTGGGAGTTCGTGAGTGCTCCAACACTGGAGGCATTCAAGGAAAACCTAGATCATCACCTGGCAGATATGCTTTGATTGTATTCCTGCACTGAGCAGGAGGTTGGAGTTGATGGCCTTGTAGACCCCTTCCAACTTCACTTTTCTAGTATTCTCTGACTCTATGATACCCATATATTAAAATTCCAGAAGACCCTTTTGGTTATATTTCCACCCAACAAAGTCCAGAGTTGCAAAACCTGTGATAGGGCCTTCTTGATAGTAGCACCCTGGCTATGGAATACTCTTGCACTTGAAGTGCCAACTTTGCTCAGAGTTTAGCACAAAGTGAAAACAGTGTTTACCAAACAATCCTTCAGATTTGTTGCGCTGACATATTGCAGGAAGATAGCTGATGGGTGGTGTATACAAAATTTTGGTATCTGGCCATTTGGGCATGTTTATTGATTATATAATGATATATTTAACTGCTGCTTAGAAACCTGCATAGAAGACTGTGGCTCTCACTATGATTGTTTTGTAATTAAATGAAGGATATAGGTTTCACAAATAAATGACCTCTCTTTCTTCATCTTTGATTCAGTTAAATTCAGTCTGAGGAAGACTCGAAAATAGCATGAAAAGGAGCAAACAAAAATGAATAATTATGTTACATTCCAGCATTTAAAAAGGAAGTAATAGCAGATTGAGATGAAAATGGGACTATGATTCCTTATAAAAGCATAGGATTTTAGATACAGTGTTTTCCATCTTCTGTAACAAGACTGAGATCATTATGCTGCTGGGGAGATAATGTGCAAGAAACCATAGCTATAAGAAATGATAAGGATTGAAAGAGAAAGGTGGCCTTGGGGCTTAACCTCTATTTTGTTTGATTCTGGGTGGAAACAACAAAGAAAGTCATAGACCTATCATTTGTAATATAGTTAAAATTATTCGAATTGTGTGTCCCAAAAGGGAGTGGCCTCTTTACATTGCTAAAATGAGCTGCTTCTAAGGGTTGCCTGAAACATTACAGCCCATGTCCAGGTACCCCTGAGAAACAATTCAGTCATGGCATGAAGAAAGTTGCTATGTTCTTAGATTATGGCGTTGGGTAGATTCACTCCAGAAAAATGGCTTATAAACACATCAGTGGAGAATAAATGCATACAAGTCAATGCCCACTTGGGCTCTGCAGCACCCCTGTAGAAATTTGGGTGTACAATAATGTTCCTGCAGAAGCTGCTGGCTGCAGTTCCCATAATCCCTCACTGCTGGCTTTGTCGTCTAGGCTGATGGAAGCTGCAATTCAATAACCTATGCAGGGGCACATTTGCCCATCTCTGGTAGAAAGCTTTCATATGATCACTCCATATAAGGTTGTAAGGGTGTATGTTGTTGTTGTTGTTGTTTTGCAAATACCGTATTTTTCGCTCCATAACAAGGGTGTATGTTGTTGTTGTTGTTGTTGTTGTTGTTGCTTGCCAAATATTTTCTTCACTGAGCTTCACCAGGCTGAAACATGCTTTGTGCACCTCTCAAGTAATCATAGAGTTTGAGGAACCCACAAATTTTACTGTTAAAGTGCTCAGGAGAAAATTACCCAGTGGTACTTTGTAATGTGCAAACAAGTGCGAAAAATATAGTATTTTCTTCACTAAGCTTCACCAAGCAAAAACATGCTTTGTGCACCTCACAAGTAATCATAGAGTTTGAGGAACCCATGAATTTTACTATTTTAAAGTGCTCAGGAGAAAATTACCCAGTGGTACTTTGTAATGTGCAAACACTCAAGCATGTTAGTAATCTTGTGGAAGAAAACAATCTAGGGGGAAAGAGCAGTCTTGTAGGTAACAGAAGTGGAGAAGTGCATTGCAAACTCACACTTGGACAAGGAAAACTCATTTTTGTATCTTGTGAGTTCAAAAAACCCAGGCAAATGCAGTCTTCAAACACTCAAGTAGGAATCTTGTGGAAGAAAACAATACAAAGGGGAAAGAGCAGTCGTAGGTAACAGAAGTGGGGAAGTGCATTGCAAACTCACACTAGAGCAAGGAAAACTCATTTTTGTATCTTGTGAGTTCAAAAAACCCAGGCAAATGCAGTCTTCAATACAGGTTAACGAAAGG